TTTTAAAGGGACTTCTCAATTATTTAACAAGAAGGGGGCTGACCCAGATGGCAAGGAAATCTCTTTATCTGCTAGATTTCCTTCCTAACCGTCATCTTGTACAAGTCACTCTGTGGGTGCCCGCTCAGAAAATTTTCCTGGTCTGGTGTTTCTAAGGCCGCGACTGTTTCCAAGAGGTGTCTGTCACTGGTGTGAAGTCCCTTATGATATTTCTGAGTGTGTATGGGATCCCCTCAGACCCTCTTTCCTCTGCCCCATTCTGTAACTTTCTGCAGTGTCTCAGGCCTTAGTCACGCCTATCACCCATGACATCACAAGTCCATCTGACCATTGCATAAAAGGCGAACCTGAGGCTGCCTCCACCTGCGATGGACTTAGAATAGCAGGTTCTGGAAGGATCGGCCAGAGAATGTACATAGACCTACTCCATGTCCTACTTAACTGTGGAGTTACAAGCACCTGGTCCAAGAACCTCACCTTCCAGAAGACCAGGTATCTGGCCGGAAGCCTACTAAACCTGAACTGGGGACTCCTGGCTTCTGTTCCACTCAGTCATCTTCTACTTTGGTGAAGGTTTTTTCTTTTTTTTAAGAAGTTCTCTAGAAAAAGCTTGGGAAAACTTACAGTGCAACTGAAGGTGTATGTACTGCTTTATGGAGGCTGAGAGCCAAACATGATTTAATTTTGCAAATATGGCATCTCTGGCCAATCCCCAGTCACCAACCCACCAACCCTCTCTCGGGTGCCTCACTGCCAACTGCCAAAGCCAGTCTCTATTAGCCTCCAACATGCTCCAACCCAAAAAGTGGCTTGTGTGAAAGTTCCAAAAACAACTAAGGGAACTTTGGTGGCAAATTAAGGTTCAATCCCTGTTACCACTTTCCCATAATATTTGTAGCATATTTAACCTGAAATGCCTATTATAGGAAAAAAAACAACAACATTCATTAGAGGAAAACAGAAGAAAAATAATCTCGAATGTGCAAATCAATTTGCAAAGGAAACAAGATATCATAAAGCAATGCTACCAGTCAACCAGTCACTATCTAGAAATGATTTCTACTGGACATGGAAGAGGGTTGAACAAGAAGTTGTCTATAATGCTTATGGAAATACCATGACAACTAGCATACAAATATATCCAATGTACGCCATCATGGTTTTTGCTAAAGTACCTTTTGTAGAAATTATAAGCCTCCAAGTAGTGAAAAATCTCAGCAGTTTCTTTGCAGATTTAATTACTCTCATACACAGAATTCCTTTGGAAGCCATAAAAGATATCTATCTACACCTAAACAGCCTGACCTTCCAGAAGCAGGGTCGAAAGGACAACAGTGGTAAGAAAGGCTGAATGTGTCCAGCCGCTCAGCAGAGCTGGAGGGTCACTGTGGGTTTTGATCTGCTGAGCTCAAGGACTGGGGTCATGACAACAAAAATGCCTACTTGCCTTAGAAGTAATAGAAAACCATCAATACAAGCTCTTTCCACACATCCATGGCTCCCTCCCAAGGCCCCACCTGCTGAAGAGCTTTCGTACAGGCCATGAAGGGTAAGCACGGGGCTTGTGTGTGTGGTGTGCATGGGGTGCCACCCGCGGCTCAGAGGAGGGGCTCATGTCAGTGGAAAGTAAAGAAAAAAACCAAAAAAGACCCAGCGGGTGCCACCATCCAGCTCCCAGAGGTCATCTGCCAAGAGCAAAGGGCAGCTCTCCCTCATGGGCTGCTGCCGACCCCTCCAAAGGCTACTTCCATTCAAGTTCAAGGGCACTTGCGTTTCTATATCTCTCAGAGTCTCTGTTCTAGGAGAGTGTTTTGTTTTTTTTTTTTAAGAGAAGCACAATGCTTCTACTTTCTGATGCAAAGACGAGGGAGGGAGTGAACAGGAAGAAATCAACGTAGTATCAAAAGATAATCGGTTTCTGAAAATCGATATGAAACCAAATTCCAGCTAAACTGGAAAACTGAGAAAATATCAGATTGAGACCTGTTAACTAAAAAGTTAGCAGATTTTCAGCACATAAACCTTTAAAAAATTTTGTTTCTTTCACTTTTTTGCTTACTTGTATTTTTTGTTAGCCAAGAATTTTAGCCAACAATTTAAAACTACCATATTATGGCACTGTCAAATATATATTTTTCAAAAGGCAGTCATTAGAATACACCAACGCATAGGGACTTCCCTCTAGACTGTCAAAGGATTTACTTCGTTCTTCAAAAGTCTTCTACTAACCAGTGTATCTGCAATTAAAACAAGGCAGGGTGAGGTGGCTCACGCCTATAATGCCAGCACTGTGGATACAGTGGAGGCAAGAGGATGGCCTGAGCCCAGGGGTTCGAGACCCACCCGGGCAACATGGCAAGACCTCGTCTCTACAATAAATCAAAAAATTAGCCAGGGATGGTGGCGCAAACCTGTAGTTCCAGCTACTTGGAGGCTGAGGCAGGAGGTTTGTCTGAGCCAAGCAGGTCATGGCTGCGGTAGCCTGTAAGTGTGCTACTGCACTCCAGCGTGGGCAATTGAGACTCCAACTAAAAAAAAAAAAGGTTGGCCTCTCCCCCTCCCACCCCCCATTTGTAATTAAAACAGCAAAAAAAAAAGATCCTGGTTTGAATGTAGCCAAATTCTTCAAAGGAAAAAGAAGAAAACCATACTAGGAACATGCCTTTGTGTCCTTACTATCATTACTCCATGTAGACAGAAACCTGATTGATTAGCTTACAGCCCTTAAAAGTCTAAATATTGCTGGGTCCAGTGACTCATGCCTGTAATTCCAGCAATTTGGAAGGCCAAGGCAAGGGGATCATTTGAGCCCAGGAGTTCGAGACCAGCCTAGGTAACATAATGAAACCTTGTCGCGACAAAAAATGTAAAAAATTAGCTGGGTGTGGTGGTACATGCCTGTAGTCCCCAGCTACTTGGGAGACTGTGGGAGGCTGAGGTGGGAGGATCACCTAGAGCCTAGGTCAAGGCTGCCATGAGCCACGATAGTCAATTGTGCCACCGCAGTCCAGCCTAGACAACAGAGTGAGATCCTAACTATGGTCAAGTTGACTTGACCACAGGATATCTTGCTTCTTTTTGTTCTCTTTTGACTGTCTCTGTTATTTGTGTTTTGAATAATATTCTTTTGAGAGAATGAGCCTTTGTAGGCAACCAGAAGTTCCAGCAAGACATCGGAATGTAAGACACAGACCACCTGAACTTTCAGGTGCTGAAAGGCATAGAGATGACATATCGCTTATCAGAATCTAAAATCATGACATTTTCTTTAAAAAACAAACCACAGATTTTTTTATTTTTTTGAGTCAGAGTCTTACTCTGTGGCCCAGGTTGGAGTGCAGTGGCATGCTCATGGCCACCACAGCCTTGACCTGCTGGGCTCAGGCGATCCCTCCATCTCAGCCTTCCAAGTAGCTGGAAATACAGGCACATGCCACCATGCCTGGCTAATTTTTTTTTTTACTGTAGAGATGAGGTCTCACTAAGTTGCCCAGGCTAGTCTCAAACCCCTGAGCTCAGGCAATCCTGGTGAGCCACTGCGCCCGGTTAGCTTTCTTCTTAATGTCCTAAAAAGTGACACGTAAGTTTCCTCAGTGGCAAACTGTACTTTAATTCCAATTCCCATTTAAGTTGTGTGTGTATGCTTTGGTTTTCCTTGCATTACACAAGAGACAGGCATGTTCCCCAAAATGTTAAGATGGCCTTACAAGAAGTGAAAATGTGTCATACCAGGACTTTGAGGGCCCTGGTCTGGCCCTGTCACTTGTTATTCTACTACTTTGTTATTGATGTCCTTTGTTACTCAGGAAACCCAAGTTGTCAGGTGCCTCTGAGTGTATTTTAAAGTCATTAACAGAAGTTCCCTTTGGAGGATTTAAAGATTAAAAAAAAAGGCAGACTCCACACGATGCTGTCCATTTGTCTGGGCAGCATAGTTTGGTTCAGGGTACAGACTGGACCAGATGCCTGGGCTTGACTCCTGCTGGCATTACTTGCTGTGCAACTCTGGGTAGTTCACATGACCTCTCTGTGGTTGTTTCCTCGTTCGTAAGATGAGAACCATGGTATTACTTAAATGCTGGGAACGGCTTCTGCACATGACAGGTGCTACGTGTTAGCTATAAAATGGCCACACCATCCTGTGCATCTGTTCACACACATGCAAAATGGAGGTGTGATCTCTAAAATGCCACCCCCTGTACACCTTTCTGTGATCTGCAAAGCATTTTCACACATTACTGTGACTGGTCCTCACAGTCGCCTGTGAGATGGACAGAATCTACATTCAACATCTTACAGAAGAGGGGACTGACCAGCCCGGGGTCCAGCTGGGAAGGCTGGTCAGACCTCAGCACTTGGCCAAGTTCTGGCCCAGGGGAGGGAACCTTCTTGTGCCCCTCACCTGTGAGAACGGAGGGAGGGCCGCTGTACTGCTGCATGTCCTGGACTGCCTCATCCTTCCACGGATGATCTGTCAGGATCGTTATCCCAAGATGCCAATTCCCAAGTCTTCAACCCCAGAATGACCAGGGAGAAAAAGTTCCTGAAGAAATTGGTTATTTTAGCCACACAGACACAAACTTGGGAACAGTGTTCGGTACCCCTGGAGAACACTCAAGCTGAGTCCTGGAAGGCTGGGCCATGCTCCTGGCTCCCAGAGGCTCCGCCCCTCATTCTTGGGCCTCAACTTGACTCTGCCGCCCTAAGACACTGGTTTGGAATGTGAAATCATGCAGAGCTGAGCGACAGCTTAAGCCTGAACTGAAAACCGTTGGAGAAAGTGAGAATGTTCAACTTTCCCCTGCTCCCCATACATGGTCTTAGACTAGGCTAGTACAGAGGGCAAGGAGGTGTCGGGCATCCAGTCATCTAACACTTGATCCAGCTACGCAGAATGACAGGTAACCGCGCCCCGACCCAATTGTGCACTTGAACCCTGGAGACTTCAGTGAGGTAGGTGGTATCAGCCCCATTTTACAGGTGGGCAAACTGAGGCAGAATGAAATGCAATAGCTCGCTTTTAATAACAACATACAAAATCTGGAGAAAGCCCCAAAGTAGTCCCCTGTTCCCAGAGCCCGCAGAATAAACACAGACAGGAGAGCAGGCCTCTTCTCTTCCTTTTCTCTCCCACAAAGATCTCTAAACACATCACTGGAACCTCTCCAATATTCCTGGGGACTTCAAACAAAAAAACATAGCAACAGAGAGACCCAGCTTCCAGTTTATTCCCAGTTGGGCAGGAGGAAGCCTTTGCCCTTGAGGAGAGCACAGTGCATCTCATCACAGATGGAAACGCCTTCATGCTGTGACGAGGCCATGGGCTGGGCAGTCGTTCACACAAACTGGCCGCGTGCAAGCCATCTGAACCAATTCCTCTTTGCCTCAGTGAGCAGGTCTAAGAAATGGAACCAGCACACTCAGTCAAAGGAAATGAGCTCTAGGAAACCAAGGAAGACACGGCCTCCCCTTCCCCCACCCCCAGAAGATGGGGGTGCTACCTAGAACCTTCCTGGGAAGGATGCCAATCCCACCCCACATCAGACACACTTGGGCAGAAATGTCATTCTCCTGCCTGGCTACCACGCCCTCCCACCTGCCCAGTCAGAATCCAGACTGTGCGGGTCCCTCCATCCCAGACCAAGCGGGAAGTCTCCAGGTTGGAGGTGTGTATGTTGGCGGTGTTCTTTGGCTGGAAGCAAAAGGCCATTCTGGCGGGATCGGGGCCTGTCTGCTCAGCTCAAGGCCTTTCTGGACCTGGGTGTGGGGCGAGGTATTCCCAGCCCAGGGCAAAGCCATCACACATCTCGTGCTCCCCACCCCCCTGTGTACCCTATTATAACAAAGTGGCAAACTGGGGGAGGGGCAAGTTGGGACTGACTCGGTGCTGGAGTTCAAGTACAGCATTACAAAATCTTAAACTGGTTCTCCTTAAGAAAGTGGTGACAGTTTGACACGCTGAGTGCCCCAGTGGGGTGGTTTCCACTGCTGTGGGCCGGGATGTGAACACCAGATCTGTGGTGGACGCCGGCTGCTCCCTTGCACGCTCTCATGGCCGCTTGGTGTCTCTGGTCCTCTCTGAGTGCAGAGGGCTCTCCAGAGACGGGCTTGGGGGGAGGGGAAGTGGGCACAGGGCGGAGCAGAGCCAGCAGGGGAGGAGAAAGAGGCACTTCAGTTTGGGCTGGTGTTCGTGGAGTCGGCCCTGGCCCCGGGAGTCGAGTGGCCCCGCCTGGCTGCGGCTCCGGCGCTGGCTTGTCACAGAAGACCCCGGTGGCGGTGGACAGGTAGGCACTTGGCAGCACTCCCAGGGCTGGGCAGGGCCGGGGCTCTGCGTGGCTCCGTACACGGCTAGGTCATCAGGATGGGCTTCTGCCGGACTTCCAGGATGTCTAGGGTGGGCAGGAGGCAGGCACATGGAACCAGGGCTGTGGCGGCAGCAGCTCCGTCCAGAGGATCCCACCTCGGCAACTCGCACGCATCTCCTCCCCAGGCCTCACAAGACACAGGGGCTGCCACCACCACCCCGACCTTCCAGGCCAGGAGATGAGTCTGCAGCAGCTATACACAACTGCCTGGCATCACCGCGGCAGGCTGGGTCAGCGAGCTGATCAGCAGGTCCTCAAGAGTGGACAGCAGGGGGCGCAAGAAAGGTATGTCAAGTGGCCTTGGGCTCTGGGAAAGCTACAGCCCCACCCAAAGTCTCAGGCAGGGAAACTAGGGCCCCTGCAGTCACCCAAATGACAGGTCACGCGAAATGACATGACAGGGCTGGACAACTCCACAAGGGGCCCTGAGGGGCCTGGCAGTCAGGGCTGCCTACAAAGAGGTGCAGCGTGTTTCCACACCAGCCAGCGTTACCTGTTAAAATCCGATGCAGCGGCAAAGTGACATAGGTCAAGTGTGCATAGAGAAGGAAGTTTCCGTCTGCTCTGTTCAGCTTCAGCCAGGACCCGACCAACGACCGTCCCGTGCCAGACAGGGAGCGAGACCGCAGATTGGTTGCATTGTGCAGGTCAGCTGGGGAAAGAAGGCCAGGTCATGGGCACATGAGGCCGGGCACTCCTTACTGTTCGTGCCCACACCAACACCCACACACCTCAGAACTGCTGCCTCCTCGCCTGTGACACCCCTCCCCCATCTGCCAGGGCCCAGACCAACATATCTACCTCCCTGACAAGCTCCCTGCCCCAGGCCCAGCATGAGGAAGGTGCTCAGTCCATTGGACAGTGAATCCTTCACTTTTCCGTGCATTCAACAAACGTGTATGGATTGGTGCTGTGCCAGGTACTAGCTCGGTCCTGAGAACAATGGTGTATACACGGTCCTTGCCAGCACAGAATTTGCTAGAACCTTCCAAGTTGTCTCTGATGGGCATCCCCAACCCCCTACAGCCATTTTCCACATGGACTGCTGAGCAGTAATTTTTTTTTTTTTGAGTCAGAGTCTCTGTCACCCAGTGCAAGGGCATGATTACAGCTCACCAGCCTCAACCTCCTGGGTTCAGGTGATCCTCCCATCTCAGCCTCCCAAGTAGGTGGGACTACAGGTATGTACCACTCACCCAGCTAATGTTCTTATTTTTTTAGAGATGAAGTCTCACTATGTGGCCCAAACGAGTGGTATTTTGAATACTCAACTCTGATGTCGTCAACCCTGTAGTGTCTTCCCCTGGTGCTAAAAGACCGAGCTTGACTCCTGTTTTCTGGCTGCACAACTCACTGACGGAGCGCCCACCACTAAGAGGCCACAGGGAGAAGGTGCAAGGGAGGGAGTGCAAACTGTGCACGGGCTGGACTGAGGGGCTTGGGGATCTCCAGGTGCAGATGCCCAGGAGGGTCCTGGGAGGCCAGAGAGGAGGCCATGAGAGCTGTCAGCTCAATAGGGTGACTCTATCACTGGAGAGCACATGGCTCTGAGGAGAGGAGGAAGAGCCAGCCTGGGATGCAGAAGGAGTGAAGCCAGGAGAGCCTGACGAGAGCTCCTCTCTCACGACATGCCCACCACGAGGGAGCAGGCAGACCACCATGGGCCCCTTTTACTGAAGCAGATGGAAAGGCTTTGGAAAGGCTGGGAGCCCCTGAAACTGTGACGAGCTGCTGCCTGGATGTGCTCTGAGCACCCAGTCTGCTGGGGGACGCTAGGACCCTTCAGAATGGAGCCCCAGGCAGCCACTTCTGTGTGTCCATCCACAGCTCCGAACCCAGGCTCTGGATCGGTGCCCGCTCTCTAAATGATGCTGAACGAACGAATGAATGAGTGGATGAATCACTGCCCTAGATCAAGAGGAGACCGAAGGGCAGTGGGGGGCCTCAGGGCCAGGGGGGCCGGGGCACCTGCGCCATCATCCTCCCGGAAGAATTCCTCGCTGTCGTTGGCCGAGTGGGACTTCTTCATCTCAGCGATTCGGTTCCGGGGCACCTTCCTCTTGAGGGACGGGGAGAAGAAGGCAGGCCGGTTGTTCCGCTCCGGGGTAGGGGGTGTGCTGAAGGAGGTCACCTGGAACAAGAGCCAGCGTCACGGGGGCAGCAGGAGCAGCCCTCTCCCGCCAGGGCCCCAAAGCCCACTCATCTCCTGCCCTCGGCAAGCCCAGCACAGCTCCGGAGAAGAGGCCACGAGGGCTGTGGCCACTGGCCCGGGTGAGGCGGCCACCCTGGAGCTGGGTGGGACCGGGGATGGGAGATGCGTTAGCGCCGGGACCAGCAGACCCTTGGCCACCCGCACTGCCGAGGAGGGAGCAGGCTGCTGCGCAACGGCAGAGGAAGCCCTCTTCCAGGCCGCAAACGCTGGTGAGGGGTTGCTGAAGTGCAAAGTGACACCAGCGGCTGACGTGGCCCGAGCACTTGGCCCACCCACGGGCCCACCAAGTCCTCTCGAGCACTCTGTGAGACAGAGCTAGTATCAGTCCATCTGACAAAGGAAGACACTGAGGCGGGAACCAAGACCCTGACTTGCCTCAGGCCATCCGGCGGGACGGGGCAGCCCAGATCTTCTGCTTGAAGGCCATGCTCCTCACCCTCCTTTCTTCTCTTAGCTAGAATGTCCCCCTGGCCCCCGGCCGCCGGCCCACAGCAACCTTCCATAAGAAGTGCTATGGCAAGTAGCCCTGTGCCTCTGTCTCCTCTCTCCCCACTCCTAATCACGTTTCGTTCTGTTCGCCATTCACACCCACTCAGAGCCAGCGGGCACAGCACTAGACAGACAGGCACATGACAGGTCCCTGCCCTCAAGGAGCTCACAGTCTGCTGAGGGCAACAGACTTGGAAAGTGGCAACCATAGACAGAGAAAGGGAAGCACAGGATACGTGGCGCACAGAGGCAAAAGGGAGCGACAGCCTGGAAAGTCAAGGAAGGCTTCCTGGAAGAGGCACTGCTGGAGCTGGGTCTTGAAGGACGAGTAGGAGTTCGCCAGGTGAAGAAGGGGGGGAAGGGCGTTCCAGACAGAGGGAACTTGGCCCATCTCCTCCCTCCTCCCCCTGCAAACAAGAATCTGAGAAGCAAGATGAGCTGGGACGGAGACTCCAGGAGCTCCATCAGCCTCCTCGTCACGGCTCTGACATCCACCAAAGTCCCGGCGGCTGCTGGGCTCCAGACGGTCCTTCCACAAGCCAGGGAAGGTTTTTAAAAGACAAAAAAAACAAAAGCAAAAAAAAAGAAAGCAAAAACAAACACCAGAAACCACAATACACAGAGTCTGCATTTGTCGCGCACTGAGCTCAAGCAACCCCTCTGAAAAGGAGCCTGGCAACAGTGAGCACACAGGTGGAAGTCCCCGGGGTCAGCCCTGCTGCTGCTGCTGGGTGACCCTAGCAAGTCCTCCCCCTCCTCCTTGCTACTAGGGGCCAGGGGCTTTCGCACCCCTCACAGCTGATCCCACTGGACACATGAGAAAAGCCAGGCTCAGGCGGGTCTGGTAACATGGCTGTAGTCACTTGGCAAACACAGAGGGCTGAAGTTGGGCATCCAGGATTGTCCAGCCCAGAGCCCAGGCCGCATCTTCAAAAGGACTTTCACAGGCGTGTTTTGCCAGAGTCCCAGGGGGGCAATTTAGGACCAGGGAGAAGAATGACGTCCTTCATCTCAAGAATAAACTCAGATCATGAACCACCTCGTCCCAAAAACAAGAGAGACCCTTGCCCGGAATTCTCACCCATCTTTGCAAAAAACAGCACTTACTGTTTTTGTTTGGCTCATAAAACACATTGATTGCAGAAGACACACATACAAAAAAATATAAAGAAGAGAAGGAACACCAACATCTGACCACCTGGACATATGCATGCTAAGATCTTTTTACAGAATTAAAGTATAACAAACACATTCTTCCTCGTCTCAGGCTCTTCAGCGGGAATGCATTATTTGCGCTCCCAAGGGTCCCTTTTCCAAGTAAGTCAATAGCACACAGGAACTGCGGTGGCTGCTACTTTTGGGAGGCACTCCCGAGGGTGAAGCGCCATGCCAATGGCTTGATGTGCAGAGCTCCTTGAGCCTCCCCACACCTCGGGGGGCAGGTATTCCCAGCCCGTTTCTGGATGAGAAAACTGAGGCTCGGGGAGGAAGAGACATGCCCAAGGTCATGAGTGCAGCAGAGCAGGATTCCAGCCCGTGGGGGTCTCTCCTGGACAAGGGCTGAGCAAGGTCCCCTGACCCAAGGGCCCGTGCTGAGGGTGCCTCTCTGTCCAGGGGCACTAACCTGCCTGTCTTCTCCCAAGACCTACAGCCCTGAGCAGCCCCTCTGGAAGACCTAAGCGGGGCAGCAGCCAGCGTCTGGAGGCTTTCTGCTGCCTGCACCCCTGGGGCCTGCAACCCCCGCCCTCCCCCAGGGATTCTGAGGACAAGGCTGCCGCTGACCTCAGCCTCCCACCCTCGGTAGGGTGGGGCCTAGAAAGAGCGGGGCTCCAAGGTCCCGTGCTGAAACTCGAAAGCGTGTGACCTAGGGCAGCACAAGTCAATCCGCCAGCCTAAGTTCCAGGTGTGTGAGGCAGGAGTCCTCATGACTCCCCATGGGGCTGCCGCTAACATCCCAACCCCTCTGGGCAAGGGAAGGGCAGGGTGGCCCCAGGGCCTCTGCACGCTCTTGCGGACCCCCCTGTCATCACTGTTCCCATCTGACTCACCAGGGAAGCCATGCTCGCTCAGCAGGTCCACAAGGTAGGTACCAGGGCTGGGCCTGGGTCGCCAGTCAGTCTCTTCTGCCCACTGAGCCCTGGACTCAGCCTGGCTGCAGTGGCAGCTCAGGGAAGCAGAAAGAGCTCTGGGCAGGCACTAACCTGCTGTGTGACCTCGGGCAAGGCACAGCACCTCTCTGCGCCTCAGCCTCCTCACTGGTGGGTGGGGACAATGACACCTACCTCACCAGGGGGCTGTGAGGAGGAGGGAGATGGTGGGCAGTGAGTCCCAGTGACAGGATGCCCCTCCCCATCCATGCAGCCCTTACCCGCTCGTGCATGGGTGAAGCTGGGCTGGAGTCCTCTTCTGTTCCGCAGGGGGACGTGTCACCTGTGGATACTCGGCTGACCGCCATCTCTGCATGACCCTTGCCCTGTGGCCCTTTCATGCGCACAAACTCCATGTTGTTGTACTTATAGAAGCCGAATGACATCTTCTGAGCCATGCGGGCAGCCACGCTCACCTGTGGGCCGGGGGAGGTGGCTTGGGTCAGGGCAGGTGGGAAGGGCTCCACAGGGCCTCTCCCTTGACACGAGCAGCCAGGGTGACTCTTCTCGAGGAGTGACCCCAAGGGCTGCCCGTAAGGGAGGGTCTGGGCCAGTCAGCCCAGCCTCGCCCAGCAGGCAGGGGCAGCAGGGATGTCCCCAGACTCCTGGCTGGTGCTCTTCCCCTGCCCTGATGACCACGTCCACAGCCAGGCCCAGTGCCGGGCTGGGGACAGGGCCCCAGGCCTGCAGAGAGGCCAGCCTCCGGATGATGCCCCGCGAGAGCGGCCTGCCCGCCTGCAGCTTAGTGAGTCGGGGCAGCCCCAGGAGGGCTCCCAGAGCAGCAAAAAGCCAGGGACTCGTGGCAGAGAGGGAGTCACGCAACACCAGCATCACGTTCCAGGAATTACGAACTGAGGCGGAAGTTCCCACTCATATTTAGGACGGAGGCAGGTGGCCCAAGTGAGCTGAGGCAGACTATGGTGAAGAGACCTTAAGCAGACCAGGAAGCATCTGAGAGGGGCCCCAGGGGCTGCAGGTGCTGAGATGGGCAGCCACAGCACAGAGGTGGGCTTGGAGCATCCCAGTGGCAAGGGCAAAGTAGGCTGTGGACTGCTGTCCCCTAGCCCTGGAGAATGCCTGTGGGGCCACCCGCACTCACTCGGTTGTCATACACCTTCTTGAGCGCCTCATAGCGGATGGAGCCCTGAAAGATGACCCCCTGGAACGTGTTGGTTTTGTCACTGGCCACCAGCTCCACACAGACCATCTCTCCTTCCCCTACAGTCATGTCGCTGAACACCTGGGGTGGGGCAGAGAGAGATGGGCACACGGCGGTCAGCTCCCACCGCCACACGGCAGCCTGGCCAGCTACCAGGGAGGGCGGTGCAAACCTCCCAAAGGTGAAGACACTGCAGAGGTGTCAGCTCTTTGTCGCAGCCTCCCAGTGGCACCACATCTTCCAAGCCCAGCAGGACAGGACCAGCCTCATGGGACAGTAGCTGTGCAGCAGGGAAGGACCGGGACCCTGACAGCCCCTCTGGGCCTGGCAGAGGACACACCCGTGGCTAGGCCACTGGGAGACCACGTCCCTCCTCACAGATCCAGGACTGTCAGCCACTTCCTAGGACCTTCTTCTCATGCCTGGGGGTGCCCAGCCCCACCCGCCTCACCCTGCCCTGCACCTGGGTGTCATCAAAGGTTCAGCAGCAGTGGACAGGGTGACTGCCCATCCGGAAGGACAGCACTCAGACTTGGTACGACCCCATCCTGCTGCCTTCCAAGTCATTGCTCCCAGGGCCAGCACAGACTGTAAGCTTTGTGGTCACTGAGACTCAGGTGCAAATTTCAGCTCTGCCAGATATGAGCTGTGTGAGCCTACTGAGGACAACCTTCTGAGACTCAGATGCCTCCAGCCACCATGACATCTGGCAGAGTCTGACAGATACGCCTGCCTTCCTCATCAGTCCTCCCAGGGGCCCTGAGCACCTCTGAATGAGTACAAGGACCTTACCAAGGCCTAGTGAGGAAGAGCTGAGGGCGGGGCCCTGCAGGTGTGGGGTGTGGGGTGTGGCCAGCTCCCTCCCTACTCTCTCCCAAGCCCCATGTTTCCCCAGCCAGTCCCATTCTGTCTGGGCCCCAGTTTCCCTGACCTTAAAACAAAGGGTTGGCCCACATAACTCCTAAAGGCCCATCCCTCTCTGCCATCCTAGATTTGATGTTAGGGCAGGAGTGGAGGACTAAACTATAGTTTAATAGCATTAATAATGACTCCTCCTGCCCGGGCAGGACATTTTGAGTTTACGATGATTCTCCCAGGCAAGAGGCTTTGATCTTCAACCCAGACAGGTAAGAAGGACAGATGATCATTATGCTCATTTAACAGGAGGAGGAAACAGGTTCAGAGCTGGATGAACTTACTTGCCCATGATCAAGTACTGGGAAGAGTGAGAGCCAGATTTATCTTTGACCCGACCCTTCCTGGCCCCTAATGGCCAATGCCTGAAGGGCCTGAGGGGAAAGCTCACACCTGTGGAGGAAGGGGAGGCTGGAAAGAAGCAGCTTACCTCCTCAAAGCTGTCGATCATGAAGAAAATATTGGGGTAGCTGATCTTAGATTCCTCCCCTTTGCTGTCCATGGGGTGCTTGCTGGGGGATGCAAACACTTGCTGGAAGGAAGCAGATTTGAAGGACAGAGTGAGACTCCACTCTGCACATCAGCCCAGAGCCACTCCAAGGACACACCACCATGGCCACACTGCCCAGAGCCAGTCTAGAGCCAGAGCACTGCTCAGAGGGGGTGTCTGGGATGATCTGGTTTCGTGCTCCTTGCACAGGACACAGGATCCTGTGGCTGCATGTATTTCTGGAGTCAGAACCCTCCCTTTGGGGTAGGAAGTGAGGAGGAGGAGGAGGAGGACTTGTCTGCCCCAAATGAAAGCTGGGCAGCCAGAGGGCCGCCACCCCTGGACCCCTGACCACTGGGCTTTTGTATGGCTCTGGTGCTGAGCTCACCTGGGATTTCTTCCTATGGATGTGAATGTCCCCCCCGTCAGCGCGTGTGCACACCGCACAGGTCACCATGTAGTCCAGCTAGAAGAGAGCACAGGTTAGTGTCCTTGGAGGGGTGGGGTCTGCCATCCCTAAGGGCCAATTGACAGCCCACCCTGCCCCACCCCTACCTTCTGCAGGATGAGATTCAGGCAGACACTCTCCTCCCAGTCGATGTCAGGATCTCCCAGGCCCGGCAGCTTCTTGGAGTCCCGCCGGTACACTTCTACCTCCACCTCGGCCTCAGTCTCAGCTGGCTGCAGGGCCCAGGGAGAAGTAGGTGTCAGGGTCCACTGTGGCCCCTGGCACTCTTCTCCCTGGCTATAGGATGCCAACCTCACCTCACAGTGAGAAAAGGATGTCCTGGGGTAGTGGGGGCTCCTACTCGCCACTGCTTGTGCAGTTTGGCAGTCACCCCAAGCCTGAGCTGAGTGTCCTTAGGCTCACAAGACTGCCATTCCTCTTGGTTTCATTTCAGTTCCTGCTTGGTTTTTCTCCTTTCTTCCCTGTACTTCCAGAACTTCTGACATCGAGCACATAGCTCCAAAAAGGCAGGAAGTAAGAGTGTTCTGCATATAGCAGATGCTCAGCAAGCCTCTGCTGACCCCGTGAATGAAAAGTCCATAGACACAATTGCATGACAACTTTCAGGCTAGCACCACAGCACACTGGCCAGTGAGAGAGCACACTCCCCATCAGAAATGTGCCCATGTGTGTACCAAAAAAAAAATGGTCCAAGAAAGTACTGGGAGCTGCTCAGGACCCATCCATAGGAGATGTGCTGGCAACTGTGCTGTTCTCAGTGGAATATTATGAAGCAATGAGACTGGATAGATTACAGCCATCTGTGTCAACAGGTATGACTCTCACAGACACCACATTAAGAGAAAGAAACCCGCCACTGCACGCACTGCATGACGCCACACGTATGAGCTACAAGAACAGGCAAAACCTGCCCATGAAGTGTGAGAGGTCAGGGCAGTGGCTCTCCTTGGGGGAGGGCAGAAACTGGGTGGAGGCTAGAGGACTCAGGGGTTCTGGTCACACTCTCTGTCTCTTGATCTGGAGGTTGGTGACATCAGGTATCTATGCTGAGAAAAATCAAGCTGTATACATTTTGGGGGCATTTTTCTGTATGTATGTTATATTGAAAAAAAACTTACCAAAAAGGAAAAAGTGAGACTGTGAGCAGTTTTGCCACACAGAAGCTGTGTGACCCAGGGTGGGCTCCTCCCCCTCTGAGCTTTAGTTTTCTGTGAGTAGGGGTATGGATAATCTGCACCTCAGGATGTTGACAGCCACCAGCACAGAACAGGCTGCACAGACGCCAGTTCCCCTCAAAGCCAAAGACAAGATGGGCTGCCCAGGAACAATGAGCACTTTGCCCAGGGGTGGCATGGAGAAAGAGGGCACGGAAAGCCCGACTGCCCTCACTGGGAAAGACGGGGCCTGGAGCAGGATCCGGGAATCCCAGCTCCTGTCCCACCCACACTGCAGCTCCTCCATCCACCCTCCTCTGCTAAGCGCAGGAAGTCCTGCCAGTTGCTATGGCGACTGGGTACCAGCAAGATGGGGATGGGGAGGGGGTAGGAAGCAGCCTCGCTTGCCGCAGAGGACTAGCAGTGCGCAGGCGCCTCCGCAGCCCCCGTAGCCTGCCTAGGTCTTGCGGCTTCTGTCTGGTGGGTCTCCTGTCTCCCACTTGCACCTCCAGTGCGCCCCCTGCAGGCCGCCCTCTGCACTGCGGCCCAGCGACCTGGGAAAATTCCAAGTTGGGGTAAACTCAACAGCAGATAGCACACTATCCACCCACCCTCATAGGGCCTAGGCTGACAATATGTTCCATGCCCTCCTACTCTGCATGCGCTGGTCCCTCTACGTCCTCTGTCCACTGCTGTCCCTTCTCTTTCCTACAACCTTCTGACCAGATGCCACCTTTCTGCCCTCCACCCCATTGTTCCTACCATCACAGCACTGATGGCTCTGCACTATTGGCTAGGCTGTTACAACCTGGGGACTCCTTGAAGACAGGGACCAGACCTGAGTCATTTCTGTGTTCCCGGCACTAGGGGAGGGGCATTTGCACATGGCAGACAGTGGGTGTTCAGTGGAACATTCTGGCACATGAATTGCTGGTCTGCCACACATTCCCGTGGGACTCTGGCTTCCCTTACTGACTTCGACATCCCAAATCTTCAGGGGAATTTGGACCCGGCCCCATCCCCTCCTGCTCCAAATTCCTCAGGCCTGGATCCAGGACAGCTCTTTCTCAGAGGAGGGCTCTCACCTTTAACTTCTCTGCCACCCAAGAAAGAGCCATCACCTGCCCATTCCTTTCTCCTCCCCACCTGGCCTATCAGGGCACAAAGACCCGTCCTCTCCCCTCTCCTGCCTGGAATAGAAATTCAAGGTACTATGCAGCTAAGAGTGTCTCAGCTGTGCCCAGTTCTCACCAAAGTCTCTGGGCACAACAGACTTTGCCTTGGGAAAAGACCACCATTTCACAAAAAAGACTCCCTGCAGCCTGAACTCCAGCAGAAACTGACAGGCCAGAGTAGCTGGGGGCAAAGGCTGGGTCTAGCCCAGGGACACCGAGGCCCTTAACCTCCCGCGCGCGGCTTCCACAAGTGGGAAGAGTGTCTTGCAGGCACTCTCCCAGAGTCATGCTGAGGTTAGAGGGCAGCGGGCTCACCACGGGGGCAACGGGCAGCGAGCGCCCGTAGGCATCAGCCACCTCCCCACCAAGGGCAAGTGTGTGATCACATCAACCCCAAACATCCCAACTCCCCGGAGTCCACAATGGGAGGAAGCTGACCTTACGGAGCATCTGCCCTGCGCCCCTTTTACAGAAGGAAAAGATGAGCCCCAGAGAGATGAGCTGACAATGTCACACTGCAAAGCTGGTCTGGAAAGCTGCATACCCAGTAGGGAGAGCATGATGACCAGGGACAGAGGGGCCCTGAGCCAGCTCCAGGGGGGACTCACTCAGGGATCCCACCACCAAAACCCAACCCACAAGTCTACCAATCAGCATCTTCTTCATCCCTCCTGGAGGGTACCCCTCCCCTGCCTGAATGTGGCTATGGCCCCTTCCCACCCACTACTGAAATGACTCTACTAAAGCCTCTACTGTCCCCAGTACCAAATCCAGTGGGCCCTCCAGGCACTGCACCCTGTGGGCCATGCCCACTCCCCAGGCCCTCCCCTCTCGCAGACTCTCCCCTCTCCTGGCTCTTCCTTCACCTCTTTGGCCAGTAACTCATGGTCTCCTGTTGGTCCCTCCAAAGTCAGGCTAGCTCAGGGCTTAGAACCAGGGTGCAGGGAGCTAGCCTTGGAGGGACATGGGCAGCGGGTACCCAGGCCTGTGCACTTGCAGGAGAGCTTTCCCACATGTGTTCAGGCTCAAAGAATTGTTACAAGGTAAGGATAGGGCTTAATGCACTCGCTTAGTGGGCCACCACTACAACCAGGGTCCCAGAGTCACAGAGCACCAGACTGGGAGACAAGCAGGTCTCAGGTTCCAGAACTGGCTCCACGGCCCTCTCATGTTTTGATTTTTAAAGAAAAACAAAAGCACTTCCATGTTTGGTATATGGATTGCTTAAACATTTTACAGACTACCAAAGCGTGTGAAAAACAAAGAAGGAAACATGCAACATGTGTTTATTAACTCCTCCACACATGTAAATGTCGTGGATGGAAAACCTTAGGTGTCACTTCATCTCTCAACCCTCAGTTTCCTCATTTGTGAAAAGGATAGCAACATCTACCCTGTTGGGTTGTTACAAGTTCACAGTGAGATTAAGCAGTAAAGAGGCTGGCACTGTGTCCAGCATATGGCCAGGGCGCAGTGGAAGGCAACATCATCACCATCATGACCATCACCAAGCCATGTCACCTTGCCATGGCCACAGGAGGGCTCTGGACTCTGGGGTCAAACCTTACCTCTCCCATTTACTTACTAATTATGAGAGGCTGGCCAAGTCAGCTGGCCTCTGAACCTGTTTCCTCAAAGCTGCAGTGGTGATGACAATCACTGCCCTTCAGAGTCATGGTGAAGATGACAATGTATACAGCACACCCAGCACATCCCGCAATGAGACAGCACACAAAGGCTGTCTACACGGTTCCTGGAACATAGCAGGTGCCCAACAAATATCATTTACTCCTGTGACATGCATGAGGACTACAGGGAAGCCCACCTGTGCCAAGAGCAGACCCCGCAGGGACGCTGGGGACACAGATGCAGGTGCCAGGCGAGTAGGCACTCACCTTCCTCCCGTCGGCACTGCTCTCACTGCCGGAGAACGCCAGCTTCCGGCGCACATAGAAAAGCATGTCATCCTGCCGGGGAGCCCATTTCTCCATGAAGTAGGTGGAGAACATCCAAGTCCAGAAGACGATGCGGTCATCCTTGAAGCACCCTGCAGAAGGAGGCCAGAGAGGAGTGAAAAAGGGTGGGCCACCCTGGCCCTTGCCGCGACCTTGGCCAAACCCTGACCGCGACTTGCATTTCTGGTAGAAATCTGACAGGGCTCGGAGATGCTCTGCCCCTGCTCCGTCACCACCCCATGACCCCACCATGGGGCATCCTGAGAGGCTAAGGGCACCTCCCAGGAGGCCCAATTTCTCCACCCAGGAGCAGCCTAGGGCCCCCCCCCAGAACTCCAGTCCCACAGCTGAGCTCAACTTCAGTCTGTGGATGAATCAGCAGCTTCGGTAAAAAAGGAAAGACCTAAGGAGACCAGGACGTCGCTGGTTGGCTTTGCTGGCTGGCTGGAAGCCTGGAAGGCTTTGGAGCCGGGAGAGCCTTCTCACCCCTCCCACTCCCCCTGGCTGCGGCAATCCCCATGGAGAATCCAACTTAAAGGAACAGCCACCCTCCAGCTAGCCTCAGCCGCAGGCAGGAGTCGTGCGGGAAGACCGCACATGCCCCACCCCTGCGGCTGTGGCTGCAAGCCTGAAAGCACACCAGCTTTATCTCATTTGATCCTCACAGGGACTCTTCCTGTTATCGCAAATGGCATTTCTTTACGATGAGTAAGTATAATCTTTTCCTGCACAAGAAGAATAAGTCCTCAGGCTTTGGTAGGAAAGGTCTGGGCTTCCATTCCAGCTCCACCACTTTATGATGTGACAATGGGCAGAGGGCTTGGACTGAGTCTGAGGTTCAGCACAGGAAAATGCAGATTAGCCAGGACCATGGGGGAATAGTGCAGGGTCAACAAAGGTGGGTTTCCCTCCTTTCTAGATGGATCTATCAAAATTTCTATGCTGCCAAGCGATCTCTTATCAACTCTGTGTATTAAAGTGTTGCTAGTTCCTCTATCCCTCATTTAGCACTATGGTCTAGTTCTAGTACTCTGGGGATGGGACTTACACATGGGGAAGCTATAGGGCAGCCTAGTGCCAGTACCCTCCAATGCACAGGCAGTCCAGTGGGCTGGCCAAGACTCGCCCAGGTCTCCTGACTCCCAAGCCAGATCCCCTCCTCCTGGGGGTCAGCCATCAGGCTGAGACAAATGCAGAAAACCCCAGCCTTTGATTCAGCCACACCACTAACCAGAGAACCTGGCCCTGGCCTCTGCCCTCTGCCCTGCAGCATGTTCCCCACCCACTCTACGCCCTGCCTGGCTCAGGCTGCGAGAGGGAGGAAGGTCAGCAAGCCCGGTCAGGAGGCTCCGCAGGACTGGCAAGATCACCACAGGTTCACAGGACCTGGTGGAACCAAACATGTGCCCCGTCCACAGCATCACTTCACTTTTTTGCAACAGGCGACACCAATCCACACTACAGATCCTTGCAAAGTTAAGCAAGGGTGCTATGATTACTCCCAGACACAATGCCAATTATTTTTTACTTCCCCGTAACATCGTTTCACCTTTGGTTCCCTCTAAGAGCCCAGTGGGTTTTTTAAACAACACTCAAAGACTACCCAAGCTGACCATCTCTTGCTCCCATGATGGGTATAGGGGGTCATGATTCAAAATCTCACACCTGCCAGAATGAGGCCAAAGCCCACTATCAGTGGCCCTCCTCTGGGTGAAGCACTGCCTTTCCTCAGTGGCCTCTTTGTATTGTTTAATAAAAGTAACCTAGCAATCGTACATAGACAATCATGATATTGGTAATGATGACAACTTCATCGACTATGATTTATTGGTAAGCATCTTTCATATGCTGACCACTGGCAAAGAGTTCTATGTAGATTATCTCATCAAATTCTCAGTCACTCTGTGATTATGGATTATGGCCCCATTTCACAGAAGAAGAAATTTTTTTTTTTTGAGTTGGAGTCTCACTCTGTCGCCCAGACTGGAGTGAAGTGGCACACTTCCAGCCACCACAGCCTCGACCTACTGGGCTCCGGCGACCCTTCCGCCTCAGCTTTCCAAGTAGCTGGAACTACAGGCATGTGCTATCACGCCTGGCTAATTTCTGATTTATTGTAGAAACGAGGTCTTGCCAAGTTGCCCAGGTGGGTCTTGAACCCACGGGCTCAGGCAATCCACTCTCCTCGGCCTCCCAAAGTGCTGGGATTACAGGCTGAGCCACCAAGCCCAGCCAGAAGAAACTCTTAAAAGGCTAAAGAATGTGCCCAGGTTCACAGATCTCCCAGGTTTTCACACTCAGTCCTCTTGACCTGTGGAAAGGAAGGAACTAGCTGATAAATACAATCCACTTCATAGGCCCTAGGAGCACAGACAGGAGGGAGGCCAGCTGAGGAGTCTGGCCTCAGGAAGCAAGTGCTGGGGATGGCAGCATGAGGCCAGCTTGCTCTCTAGAACTCTCCAGTCCAGCCAGGGCCCGGCCCAGCAGGGTCCAAGCCAGGGTCCCATGTCCTGCTTTACAATGCTGAGGCACACTCTTTACAGTTTACCCCTGGCCTCTGACCCCCAAGAGTCAAGTCTCCAGGTCCCAAGAGTCTGGGTAATTGAAGCCAGCTGCCTGCCAGGGTTTACTCCTAACAGGAAGGCTTGTCACACTCAGGGCTCCTGGGGCCCAGCACCCAGGTCCTTTCAGCCACTGTAAGTCACACCCTGGGGTCTGCAAGGGGGACAGCCACAGGGCACACATGCAGTGGACCAGGCCCGGTGCTGGTCCTGCCTACACACGCTCCCTGTCAAAACACACAGTAGTCATGTGACCGTCAGACAGTCCAACGGGTGCCACCTGCTGCCACCACCCCATCCAAGCCAATACCAACTCACTGGATCGCACCAGTCACTGGCCTGCATTCCTACCCGGTAGCCCACCCTCCATACCACGGTGAGTGGAACTTTAGTTAAAAGATCCTTTCCTGACCCCTCCCTTAGACTTTGCCATCAAATTCAGAATAAAATCCAAAATGTTCACAAAGCACTCCATGACCGCTCCCCCAGCTGCTCCCCCGTCACTGGTCACCTGACTTCAGGGACCGCTGGGCACGCCCTGCCTCAGGGAGCCTGCCCCCGCTCCCCATTTACCTCCAGTATTCTTCCCCGGGATCTCTGCACAGGCAGCTCCTTCCTGTCCTTCCAGTCTGTTTAAATGCCACCTCTTCTGAGAGCCTGTCCCAACCTCATGTAAAAGGAACCCTCATGTCCTCTCTATCACATCATCTTGTTTTGCTGCTATCATAATCTTTACCACTACCTGGGTTTTCCATATCCATGTGCTGTCTGTCCCCTGTTGTAATGAAAGCATCCCAGGTGCAGGGACTTTGTCCCAATCACCATTAGACTCCAGATCAGTGCCAGGCACATAGTGGGCACTCAATAAATGCAGGTAGAATAAATGGATTATCCCAATTTAACGGGAAAAAAACTCAGTGGGGTGGGGCAACGTGCTCAGGTTCCCCACCAAGGACTTGGACCCCCCGGCCAAGACTGTCCACCTGAAGGCTGGGCTGGCCACACAGAGCATGGGATGTGGACTGGCCTCTTGCTTTCAGCCTCAGAGTCCCTTCAGATCTTACAAAGAAGCCCCAGTGTCACATGAGATACAGGGCTGAGCCCCACTTTCTTAGCTCTCCCAGGCCTCAAAGCCACAACTCCACTGTGGAAAACCACCACTGGCTTCAAGGAGTTGGTGGGCATATTGTGTGCCGAGCAGGTGAGAGTGGGAGAGAGAAAGACAGGGCATCTGGATAGGTCAGTCCTCACAGCTACCAAGTCCCCAGCCTTCCCTACCACCTGCTGCCACCCTGTGAGTCAGGAGACCCAGCACCAATGGGCTCTGAGAGAAACAAGGAGCTGAAAGGTTAGCTGGAAGTTGTAGAATGCCATGCAGATATTCTCACCAATGTTATGATTTTAGTACCAGTATGACAAACCAGCAGCAAGAAACTCAGTCTGCAGGGAAATACACACGCACTCACAAACACACTCCTCCCTCCCGCTAACAGGAGATAAAGGCTCTACTGTGAAGAGGCAGTCATGGCAGAAAAAAACTGGGGGAACCATATGGCATGCTGAGAGACGTAGGGACGTAAACCATAAAACACACCCATGCCTGGGACATTCAACAATTAAAGCAGGAAGAAATATCACAAAGGAAATGGCTGAGAGCTGCCCTCTTAAAACCATTTGAGGCTGGATGTGATGGCTCACACCTGTAATCCCAGCACTTTGAGAGGCCGAGGCAGGAGAATTTCTTGAGCCCAAAAGTTCAAGACCAGCCTGGGTAACATAGCAAGACCTCATCTCTACAAAAAAATTAAAAACTTAGCCAGGTATGATGGTGCACACCTGTTGTCCCAACTATTCGGGAGGCTGATGCAGAATGACCACCTAAGCCCAGGAAGTCAAGACTGTGGTAAGCCATGATTATGCCCCTGCACTCCAGCCTGGAGGAAGAGATCCTGACTCAAAACAAATTTTTAAAAATTCCCAAACTCCCCTCATGCCCAAGAGAAGCTTAACCCAAATCAAAAGAAACAGGAAACACCAGGGAAGGGAAATCCACAAAAGATGACGGATGTCCATGACAGGTAAGGGTCCACAGCACAGCAAGGTATAAACTGAGTGCATCAGACCCTAAGAGGCAAAATTCCAAATCAGGCAACATACCAAAAAGGAAACACAAAAGGTTAACAAAAATGTGGGAAAATAGTAACCTCACTAATAACCAAAAATTCATACTACAAGACCAAGTTGTCATTTTTAAGACAGTAAATTTGGTTTTTTAAAAATAGCACTTAAGAAAACCATCAGATTCTTATAAAGTTGAACATATGCTTACCAAACCATTCAGCCACTCCTAGGCACCTACCCAAGAGAAATGAAGCCTGTGTCCACACAAAGACTGGTACACAATGTTCAGAGAAGCTTTATTCATAATGGTCCCAAGTTAGAAACCAGGAGAATGGACACATGGAAGGTGGGACAGCCATTCAGTGGAATATCACTCAGCAATAACAATCCACATAACATCACAGATAAACCAAAACCATCCTGCAGAGCCAAAGAGGTCAGGCTTAAAAGGGTACACACTGTACGATCAGATTCACATGACCTTTCGGAAGAGACAAACCACAGTGACAAAAAGCAGATTGGGGGCTGCCCCCAAATATTCTGGAGCTTGACTGCTGAGCTGGTTTCACAAATGCAAACGGCCATCAAAACTCATTAAACTGTTCATTCTACACAGGTGTAGTTTATTTTACATGAATTATACTCCAATAGAGTTGATGAAAAATTATAGCTAATGCTAGCAAGTATGTATTGAACTGGAAGTCTCAGACAGGCAAGAGAACGAAAGTCATTGTATCCTTTGTGGAAAG